ATCGACAGGTTTTCATATACATTGAGATAATGATAATAATTTACATTTGTTGGAAAGCAACTCGATTTTCGGATTTTTCTTTTCTCTCTTCCCACTTTCCCATCCTCTCCTTCCTTTCTTACGATTCTCGTTTCTCCTAGCAGCTGTCAGCTCGATCCGAAATCGTAGTCCCGTATCGATCAAGGGTGAATCGTGAACTGGATGCAACTTAGCAATGGTTGTTGCGTCGAACGAACCGGTTTAACGCGCATTGAAAGAGCGAATTGGGGAGAAGCATGGACAAAAAATTCATTTGAATCGGCCGACCCGGGTCGAGCAGAGGCGTCGAAATAATTGGATTTTAATTTTCGAGGTAGCGCGAGGTAGAACAAAAAAACGCGGGTGCACCCCCGGCCCTGAGAACGGTTCTCCGCGAATGTTTATGTAATATCGCGACGCACTCGTCTCGTCCTCTCTCTACGTCCGCGGAACCCTTCATCTTTCCCACGAGTTCACAATGAATCCTCAAGTGTCTCGAAATTTTTTATTTATCAGAGTGGCATCATTGTTGGAGACAACGGCTGAACGCATTCACGTGTTATTCTTAAGTCAATCCTTAATTAAACAATTCAATTTAATTAAATTTGATTAAAAAGATTGTAAAATTATAGATTTTAATTGAAACACACGTAGCTTCTTGAGATTATTCTGTTATTAGAGCTTCGAATCGATATAACATAATTATGTGCAACGATTTTTTTTATTCTATACTTTTTATATTTTTTTCTATTTTTTTCTATTTTATACTTTTATATTTTTTATATTTTACATTTTTACATTTTTATATCTTTATATTTTTATACTTTTCTACTTTTTCTACTTTTTATATTTTATGTTATTTTATATTTTATAACATTGAATTCAGCAAGATGAAGCGATTGAACAAAATCCGTAAAATATACCTGAAAATTTAAGTATTAAGAATCAAGTCCGGTCTATCGAGGACTCATATCAGTCCCCTCGTTGCTTGGACAGAATGAAAGGACGATGGCTCGCTTCGACGGTTCGGTCCACGAACGGTGCGTGGGGACGGCACAAAGGAGGCGAATGTTTTAATTAAATCTCGGGGAAACGTGGAAACTTCGCCATCGCTCGGCGTTTTTGCGATTTTCCGAAAGTTTCGCTTCGCGCGCGCAGTGCGGGACGGCTTTTAAGGTGGCGATGGAAGAAAAGGAAGGACGAGGTGGAACACGGCGGGAGGACGAGGTGCTCGAGCAACCCCCTCTCGCATCCCTATCGCCTCCTTCCACCTCTCCCTGTTACCTTTTCCATCGTCACTCCAACCGCCGGCGCTATCGCCGCTAAAATAAAAGAAGCCGCAAAAACAAAAGAGCTCTGCGGCTACTTAACGAAACAAATTGTTGTTACGTCCTGGGGCTGAGAATTTTCAAGTTTCCAGCAGGAAGGGGAAAGTATCCTGCCTTTTTACCGCGCTGTTCTCTCTTTTCCGGGACCTCACGCTCCGTTCATCAGTCGACAGTTTAACGTAATTCGGGGCTCGTTAGTGCCGCTTTCTTTTCTTGTACTTTCGTGCTTGCGGTAAAGTCCTGTTAAAGTAAAGTCGCGCATGTATTTTGTGTCGACGATTGTACGGATACACAAGTTGGGATCGGATGCACGAGTTTAGTTTAGACAATTAGTCACTCGGTCGAAAAATTGCCGCTTTATCGATGTACTTTCTCGTCGCGTGCGTGACACAAGCGCTAAACGTTATGATGCGGAACGCACATTTCGCCGCATACCGCGCGTCATCCGTTAAATCTCTATGATGTAACGACACGCTCGTTAGTATACGAGCGTGAGCGAGAACGAGGATCGTTCGAACCGCCGCTGGCGATCAGTTACGAGTAAGTAAGACTATTTCACAATGCACAGGAACAAGGCGATACATTCAGCTGACGAAAATACAACGAATATGGCGATACACATACGAGACACATGCCAGTGGATAAAGAGATAAAAAAAAAAATAAGATAACATCAAGATCAAAATGATGAACAGCATAAATGAGCAAAGCGATCGAGATGCAAACGAAACAAGAATAATCGCGAGACGTTCCAGAGAAGTTCGCGCGGAAGCGAAATCATAATCGGGCAGAATATAGTGAACTGAATGGTGTTGAATGTCGATTAATGAAAGAAAAATAATGTCAATGAGTGAGAGACGAGACGCAGCGCGTCTGCGACGTGCAGGATCAACGACAAGTTAAATGAAATGTAAAAGAAAAAAAAAACGGCTGCGACAAAACCTTGGCCGTCGGTGAGAGAAAGCAAGGAATACTTAAGGTACGCGCGCATGGGCAGGGAGAGCGTTAATAAAAAGGATTTTGTGAACGGGCTGAGTGTTCAACTCACTCGCTGCAGGGTAGACCAGCATTCCTCGAGGGTGCGTTCGCTGATGTTGCCCATTCCTCCACCACCGCCGGCACCTACTGCACCTCCAAGCCCCGCCGCAGAGGCACGAGACTATCAGGCAAGATAGGATAGCTCATGTTAGTCCCCGATCCTCGTCGTTCTTTTGAACGCTACTAACCATCACTACTACAAAGCTTCTTTTCGTCGAACGGTAGTCCGCGACTGCTACTTCGAATATAAAAACTAGCGCGCTCTGCCGTGGCAATGACAAGCTGAGAATGGCGTGACGAAGTGAGTATTTCTATTTCGTGTGGACACGCAGGGAAGTAGTTGTGGAATCGTTCGATCGAGGCCGATCACGTGTTAATTAATATCGGCATTCGCAATAATTATATTACTCATTAATGCAAAACGTGATTCTTACTATATTATTCGCAGTGTCTTCGAGTATTATATTGTATCGCGACTATAGCTACGGTTCTCTCGGTTCTTCTCACGAACGATATTTATAGTCTTTCTCTAATTACAAATCACCGATGCTCATAGACTTGCTAACACGATCTCAAAGTTCCGCTATCTGTCGAGAGATACGATGTGTGATTTCTCTCTCTCTCTCTCTCTCTCTCTCTCTCTCTCTCATACTCTTACATTCTAGCTCTCTTGCATTCTCACGCTCTCCTTTCTCTCTCTTTCTCTCATCGAAACTCCGCGGCCCATGCTGTCGCAGAAACACGGAGATATTTTCTTGGTAACATCTTCCCGGCGTACCGTATGACGTATGCGTATGGTATTATCTGTGTTGCGCGGGTCAAGAACCCCAGGAGACGACGTATCTGCATCTCCCTGCATTGGTGTGCGTGGGCCGCGTTCGCATTTGCGAACCGCACTGCTACTTTGACGTGCGTGCTTTCTCACTCTCTCTCTCTCTCTCTCTCTCTCTCTCTCTCTCTCTCTCTCTCTCTCT